TCAGAATTGAATGTAGTCCTGCTGTCCGACTCTTCAAAATCTGACCAAATGGGCATCAGGTCAAATATAATATAATGGAAGTTGTCTTTTGTATCCATATTCTGTTTTTAAGTGTTAAAGTATACTCTTAAAAGTGATAGTTCTTCTTTAGTAAAGACAGTAGTCTCTATATAGAACCATGAAAACTCAAAGAACAATTTGCATGCTTAAAGAGTTCTTTGCATTGTGAAATCGTTCTTCAAATTGATGGAGACCGTGTTGCATATGCTTCTATATAGAACCCTTTTGAGCCAAGCATGGCATCGTAGCAATAGAAGAATGTTTTTGATGCTATATAGAACCTTTTTCAAAAAGGTTCTGTTCAGAATCACATAGAACACATTCTCCATCAAGCATGCACATGGTTCTTTGTGTGTTCATGGTTCTACACAGAACCATTGTCTTTACTGAAGAACCCTGGATGAACCATCTTTTTAAAGAGTAAAATACAGTAATGGTGAGCTGCAGCGTAAAGAGAGTCATTACTTATCAAACGGTCCTCAGTCTCAAATAACAATATAGGTAGCTCACTTCTCAACCAATCAGATTTTGTTGTTATAACTAACTGTTGTAGAATCTGAAACAGCTGACCAAACTCCATACAAATCTTACACACAGTATAATCCTTGAATCTTAAATATGGATTTACATGTCAGGTTTAATGTCAAATCCCTTTTTCCTGAGTGAGACTTGCTGCATTATTCGATTTTTAAGGCACAGACACCCATCTACGTGTTAAGAGCCATTTCCTCTCCTCTTCACCAGGAGTCACTTTCACAGTGATCCTGAGCTTCTGAGCTCATTAAAGCTTAATCTGAAAATCTATTTTCAGATCACTTGTAGATCCGTCAGGAGGATTTCCCATGAATAGAGGCCACTGTTTCTGCATGACCTCTCTGCCAAAATGAACACACTGGAATTATTTCATATGTGGTTAGCACGCCAGTGAAGCGCGATTTCTCCAGCTTTAGCAGACGCTGTCATTGCTCCTTCAGATAGGCTGTTCTGAAGTGTCTGTCCTTCTACATATTTGTGTCTTTCCATATAAATATTTGATATGTGTTCATGGTTACTTTAAAATGTGAGAAGTATGGGCTGTGGCACTCTGTGGTACTGTCAGAGCAATTAAAGACCATTCAGTTCAGTGCTTCTTGCTGTTGCGGGAAAGGCTTGCCTCAGCATTTCCAGTGTATTTCTGATACACCCACAATTAGTGGTGTCAAGAGCCTCAGTACTGGGTTTGCCTTGGATTTGATCTGCTGCGCTTCATAAATGATGTACTGGTACCGCTGGTGTGCTGTACAGATAAATGAAGGGCTGGTAGTAATGTAGTGCTGGGGTTTTTACACATCAATGTCACTGCTAGGTTGAGGGTTCATGGTCTGAAACGGACCATATATGAGAGGCCACAGGTGGTATAGTGTTTAACTGCACCAGCAAGGTGGCACTACAAGGTGGGGGTTTCTATTAAAGTGTCCAGTGAGTAGGCAGTGAAATTAAAAGGTCATTCCAGTGTAAAACTGCAGGATAATATGTTATTTGTCATGTTATGTAGTATCCTGTAGTCCAGTATTGTATCCCTCAGCCTTATTGGTTCGACAGAAGTCACAATTTTGTTTTCATACAATTATTTGTATATATTACCAAACATTGAGTAAATAGGTCATACAGCCATTGGGAATTCCTACAGCTTCCATTTAAACTCATTTGAAGCCCAGTAGCCATAGTATAGGAAAATAATTCACTGTTTACCAATAGGACTACTATTTTATTTATTTAACCATCTTTCAGGAAACGGGGCTGAGGAAATAGTAACTGATTTTTTTTTTAGTCAAACATTTTAGTCAATCATTGATCAAAAATCCTTAGTAGAATACAACTCTAGTTAATGGCATTTATATGAGAAATTAGTCATTTGCAAAGTACACTATATGGCCAAAAGTATGTGGACACTTGACCATCACACCTATATAGTTTGTTGGACATCTCATTTTAAAACCATGGACGTTACTTTGGGCTCCCTCCACCTTTTATGGTTATAATAGCCTCCACTCTTCTGGGAAGGCTTTCCAGAAGATTTTGGAGTGTGTGTGTGGGAATTTGTGTCAGTTCAGTTAAAAGAGCATCCGCAGGGTCAAGCTCTGTTGTTGGCCAAGAAGACTTGGCTCACAATTGACATTCCAATTCATCCCAAAGTTGTTCAGTGGGATTAAGGTCAGGGCTCTGGGCAGGCCACTAGAGTTCCTCCACACCAAACTCACCAAAACCACATTTATGGGCATTGCTTTGTGCACAGGGGCACAGTCATGCTGGAACAGGAGAGGGCCTTCCTCAAACTGTTGCCACAAAGTTGGATGCATATAATTGTCTAAAATATCTTTGTACACTTTGTATAGCATTAATATTACTCTTCACTGGAACTAAGGGGCCAAACCCAAACCCTGACAAACAGTCCTAGACCATTATTCCACCTCCACTAAACTTTACTGTTGGCATTTTGCATTCCGGTAGTGTTCTCCTGGCAAAAAGATTTGTCTATCAGACTGCCAGATAAAAAAGTGTGATTTTATCACTCCAGAGAACGTTTCCACTGCATGAGTCCAGTGGCGCTACACTTTACACTACTCCAGCCAACGCTTGGCATTACTCGCAGTGATCTTAGGCTTGTGTGTAGCTGTTTGACCAAATAAACCCTTTTCATGAAGTTCCCATTGCAAAACACTGTGCTGATGTTGCTTCCTGAGGCAGTTTGGCACTCTGTAGTGAAAGATGCAATAGATAATAGGTGATTTTTACTCACTGTGCTTCAGCACTCGGTGGCCCTGTTCTGTGAGTTTGCGTGGTCTACCACTACATGGCTGAGCTGACTTCACAAATTAACTTGTGGCAAAGGTGGCATCCTATGATAGTGCTGTGTTTATAGTCACTGAGCCATAGACCCACTTTCAGTACACTTGATTTTATACACCTGTTAGCAACAAATGTGTCTAGGAGATTTAATCATTACTTTTCAAATATGGAGCATTCTGAATATTAAATGTATTATAGCTTTATTCTCTACACTGTGCAGCATCTACACCCATGTTCATCATTCTGGACACATCTGGAATGTATTAATTTTTAAAATAACTTTCTGCTAATTATTTGAAAGCTATTAAATCACACAGGACTAACATAGTGAATTTGTGTTAAACATTTATCTGAAACCAAATTGGTTTATTGAAATCATTATTGGTGTCATTAATTCCAAACTGTTGAACAGTACATAGAGCTAAATATGTGACTCGCTTCTTATGGTATTATATTTGTGCAGTTAATTTTTTGGTAAGTTTGTATGATACAGGCGCCATTGCAGACCTTATTTGCATCTTTCATGTACATATGAATGAATCACTGAGTGAATCCACAACATATGTCCATTCTAAACTGTCCTTACATACAAGCCTTTACAAGCAGCTTTATTCATTGCTTTGAACCTGTTTAGACACTATTTTTACTATTAGTCATCCTTAACCTGATGAGTCAGACAGTGGGAAGGTGATTAGGCATTGATGCAAGCATGTCATTCACAGTAAACAGCACAGGCAAGCAGAGAGAGAGAGAGAGAGAGAATGGTGCTCACTCCCAACCCTGAAGGCATGAATCATCCCACCACTGTGAAATATTTCCTGTAAATGTAAAAGCCTCCCATTTGCCACTACAGTGTGAACTGTGCCTCTGTTGCCCCATCCCTGCACAAATATTAACGTTGCATCCAACACATTATCTCTCCCTGGGTAATAATGTCAGGCTGCATTTCAATAATTACGCTTTTCCATGTGTGGGCAAAATTGCAGCTGGACCGAAATAATGCTGGTCGGTTCATTTTCCTGTTTCTAGAGTATTTCTAGCACATTCTCGATTTCCACAGCAACGAAGTTCTTCGGCTCACGAATAGATAGAACTAGAAGTTACTCTGTTTGTGTCCTCGACTGCAATTTCAAATGCTTCCGTACTTAAATGGGACTTATGAGTCATTGTTCTGGTCTCATTTACATAAATTAAAACACGAGAGACAAAGAGAACAGTCTCGCACACAAAGGAGTATGCTGCTATCTTTACAGTGAGCCAACAGGGGGAAATATAATTCATGCAAATGAGCCAAACAGATAAAGGCTTTCTTTGTCTAGCTGCTCTGTCTATCTGATGGCTAAATTTATCTGCTCAGCTAATGCAGGGGTTTCGAATCTGATTTTCTGTTGTTGTTAATGTTAAATCTCACTTCTTCCAGTGTGGTTTTGACAGTAAATGATACCTGTGAGCAGCCTTCTTGTAAAAAAGAGCACATTCAATTAATCACATTTGCCTGCACTTGACTAAAGTAAGTCTATATGTAACAAAAAGTAAGAGGTAATCTCCTGCATGGCACATGTGTATTGTTGCTCTATATGATCTAACCTACCAGCAGGTAGTAGCTTCTCTTTTCCAGGCTTGAAGAGAATTTATAAACGTAATCATAAAAGAGAAGATTAATAATTCTCTGCTTCTGCTTCTCATCTGAAATGGTCAAGTGAACAAGGCTAAGAAGCCTGGCAGCAAATTACAAAATTGGATCAATTTACATAAAGATAATGTGTTCTTGGGCCACGTTTTTTTTCATACACTAATATTTAGAACTCTCATCATAATTTTAATTGGTTTGCAACATCAAAGAGTGTTTTGATAAGAGTTCATTAATTAGATAGAGAAGGTCTTGTTACATTATGTGCACTTTTCTACACGCATCAGAAAATGGGCTCGCTTTGGCCTAAGTGGAGGGAACCAGACCAAAGGCTTTTTGAAGAATTCTCCTCTGCTGTGCTATTCCACTTTAATTGCCGGTCATTCCTTATATAAGTGTTTAAACATCTTTGTAGCAGGTCATTTATTCAAAAACAAGTTCAACAAAAACCCTCTTAACCCTTTATTCCTTTCCTTTACAGCTTCAGGGTACACTCAGAAGAAAGATTGAAGGACAGCCTCCTGGATATACTGCTAAGCAGAACGGCCTCTCCTGTGTGGGCACGGGCGCAGCACCAGACTTTAAGCGTCTTCGTATGGAGACCGGCTCTCTTCGCCCCGGGCATTGTGCGATGACCTCAGGGCAGTCTCCAAGCTTAGCAGGGTCTGTAGCTCTGAGTCACACACTTCGACGGAAGGACCCTTTCATGATGCCCCACGATGTAGGAAGTGATCTGTTCAACATGACTCTCAGAGAGATGAAGAAAGAGCCCATCGATGTTCAGCCCTGCAGCCAGTCATCAGCAGATCCTATGATGGTGTTCGACTTCAAAGAAGAGGGTGGTGGACAGATTGACCCTGAACTTCAGGATCTGTTTGATGAGCTTACCAAGTCAGTGCCACCACTCAATGACCTGGAACTGGAAAAGATGCTGAAGCAAGATGATGACTTTGGTTTAGATCTGGGTCGCCCCAGCTCAGCAGGCGCAGCCCATCCCTGCCCACACTTAGATAAACCGATCAAAACGAAGTACTCGCCTGATTATGGCCAGGCTTCAGGAAGCTCTCCACAACTTAGGCCAGCATCTGCTGGACCTTCGTTCACTGCTTTATCAACATCTCCCATTGGGCAAATGACCCATAGTCATGTATCATCAGGAACGCCTTCTAGAGGTCTGCCCCCCTGGCCTGAGATGTCCCACGCTGAGCAGCTAAAGCAAATGGCAGCCAACCAACAACAACCCAGCTCTCTCCTCCACCACCAGCAACAGCAGAGCCAAGCTGGAGGGGTTAGAAACTGGTCCTCTGCCATAGGAGGGCACCCCAATTCCAGCTGCTTTGGTCAGGAACCAGTCGCCAGCTCTGGTTCCCTCAGCCAGCCAAGAATCAGCCCTCAGAGTGCGGGTCAAAGCAAAGGAATGCCCAACTGCCTCTTCAAGCCTGGTGGATACAATCCAACAAATCCCACAGACATGAAGGTTCTCAGCAGTAAACCCATGCTGCATTTTACCCCTAAAACAGCATCATCCACAACTAGCCAGCAAATGCCCCACATGGCCGGGTCACAGAGCAAACTGACCACTCAACAGCAATCGTCTACAGGAGGTCAGAGAATGCAGTTTCAGTTGTCATCATCATGTCTACAGCCCAAACCTCTGAGCCAGAGGCCTCCTCTCAACCAGCACGGTCTAGGAATTAATCTGAAAATGACTCAAAGACAGGTAAAAAAGTCTAATTTGTCTTTATAGTTTAAAACTTATAATAGACTTAAATGTTTACTGATGTGAAATAGCTCATTTCTACTAGGCTGCAGGTGATATGGAAAAAATAACATCATGATACTTGATACATGATATCCATTACTATATTTAGTTTTTCTGAGGTTTTATTATTTGGAAAAAAACTTATTAAAGTATTAAAAACCATGAATACAATGAATTGTATGTTTCACGTACCACACTGCACAAAATCCAGTTAAACATGGCTAATTATGCTCTCTTTGTAACAGTGTCAGTGTTCTTAAAGTACTGACTATTTCTATGATATGCTCAGAAAGGCATATTGTGACTTAACAAGGCATAATTTATTATCATAATGATGAATATCACATCGTCTACCCAGCTAATAACTCTGTGAGAAGAACATGTGGATGCCCCATGATAGCAGTCCAAAAAAATAAAAAAGAAGCTGAATTTGTTCATATTGTTGGCAATGTGTAATGAGCACCACACTTAAGAGGTAGCTAACAAGTACATTTTTTGAACGCAGTAAGTGCATTCAGGCCTTTGGGCTATCTGGCCCTTTTTTTTGTTTATTTTTGTAGGTTGTCTCAAGGGACACAGCAAACATGAATAAGTAACTAAGTAAATAAAATGTATTTACAAAGCACCTTTAAAACAACTTATGTTGACCAAAGTTCTGTACAAAGAATCATCACATTGAACACATGAAACAGCACAATAAATACACATAAGACAATTCAAAAGAAAAACAACACACAAAAATAAGAGATGATCATATGAGTTAAAGAAAGTAAAAAACAGACACTGAAACACTTAGTATTACCACTATCTCTCACTGGTATGGTTTTAGCCCTTATTTAAAACTGAGATTAAAAGGGCTTGGCGAATAGCAGGTAGAAGTCTGTTCCGCAGTCTCAAAGCAATATCTCTAAATATTAATATAGAGATAATATAATAATATAGATCACTAATGTTAATTGAAGATTGTATAACATTTGTCAGTTGTATTTCAAGTAATATCAGCTTGGGAGTAGATAATTATTTCCAGTATCCAGAGTAGCTTCTGTTGAGGTTCTAAGAGGTAGCACATGCACTGATTCAACACAAACCATGTGTGTTATTCAATTAACCTGTAACATTTATGCAGAGAGAACAAGATTTTTGGCTGCATATTCTGGAATTCCAGTTCAGCTCTTTCTGCACTCTCGGCCAGCTTCCTCTGTTATCTGTTAGCATCCTGCCTATTGGCTGTAACTCTGAGCGGCTTCACTGTGTTGTTCGCCTGTTGTTCCTGTCGTGATTGTTGTTTGTATGTCAGCGTTCGCAAGGCATCTTGAATATGTATATCCCCTCAAAGCGATTTGATGAGGGCCTTGGCTTGCTAGAGTGTGGTGGATTAACATGCAAGACTTCTAATTTCTCCGCCTGTCACAGTCGCTCAGCGCCAGGGCATAGATGTGCACAGCGGGATTTGCTAATTGGAGGTTGTTAGCTGCAAGGGACAAGTTGTGGAAAATGACAGTAATCTGCTTAGCCTGGTGCCGGAGGTTGAACCACTGATTTGTTATGATTGGAGAGCTTTAGAACATCCCCCTTTTCAGTTTAGTACAAACAGTATCTCTCGCCTGGCTTTGTGTGAAACGATAACATGAACCACACAAGAGGGGCTCTCGTAACCCATTTTCAAAAGCAGATCTCAGTGTACAGGACACAGAGACGACAGAAGCTCGTAAAAACTTTTTCGTTCACATGCTTTCCATACCATTCCTTTCAGTATCTGGTAAATTACTTTGATTGCTGTTACTAATGCTTTTAAATAACCCTCATCGAATATTTCTCTTTGCAGTTTAAGACTGTTTTCAGTCATGTGTACGTTTATTTTAGTAGTGTTTATCAGCTGATAAATTAGGCCTTATATTGCCTAGACAACAAAAATTCTTCCATGCATTCAGACTCAAACCATCGCTGGCGAAAACAAAACTTTGTGTCTCAATTTTTTACCTTTTTATACTACCATTTACATTATTTTGAATTTTTAGGTAGAACAGACCAACAGAAATGGTCTGGAACAGTGGTCACCAACGCTCCTTCTACCTTTCTGCAAGTTTCACCTCCAGCCTCAATCTAACACCTCGTTCAGCAAATCAAAGACAATAATTAGATGAATCAGATGAGGTCAGTTAGTATTGCATCTAAAGTTTGCTGGAAGGTAGATCTCCAAAAAGCAGCATTGGTAACTACCTGGTAGTCATGACGGTATAAAATGACATAGAATAAAATCTTGATACATTACTGACATTGAAGGTTAAGAGTGTTTTTTCCTTTCTACTGTAAAGTGACTTTTTTGGAGATGAGGTTTTGCTCGGACAATGATTAAATATTTCTATAAGTGTAGCCAATAGAATTAGGTACACATAGGAGCCATCAAACTTCTTATGGGTTCTTATTGCTCGTTACTTCAGCATTTCAGCAATGATGTATTTGTTTTGTAGTTTATATGTCAAATGAGCGACTAGAACAGTAGAGGAAAATCATTTAAAATAAATACAGCTACAATAAATACTGCAGTGGTTTACAACCATTTATTAAAACAAAAAGGATCTCAAAATAAGACTGACACAATTTTAAAGGAATAGTCGATTCATTCACTATAAATGAATTAAAGTCCCTCCATCGCTACACTGAAAAATCAATCATTGTACTTGAGTAGTAACTCTGTTTTAAAAGTCACCCCATGCATGTACACACACATCACCAGTGTTCTTATGTTTCACTTTTTGTTCATGCTAGATGTCCAGTCTCTTAAATGCGTAATGAACTTCACTCCCTCAAAGAGCTGATTAGATTAATATGTTGAATAAAGTAATTATAGAGATTACACTCTTTTGACCTGTGTTTAGATTTGAGTGAGTTTCCTCAGTTTCTGCTAGAGTCTAATATTCTTGTTTCTTTTAGCTCTTTTTTTAGTAATTTTGTAAAACCTGAAAGTTTGTTAACAAAAAATCTGTCATTTGTAAATAGCATATTATATAATTTATAATGAGGGGAAAACAAGTATTCAGATACTTGTTTTGTGTTGTTGAATATACTTTCAGTGCATATGCTCACTTTAAATTTACCCAGATAATGTCTTTTAACCTTGTGCTTAAAAAAAAAGTATTGATAAAAATTGTTAGTGAAGAAAGTATTGACACAACATCACTCTCAGTACAATTGGTTCAATAATATGCAAGTGGAAAGTTCATGGAACCACAACTAATCATCCTCAAATAGGTGCACCACGCAAGATTTCACAGCATGCTCTCTGACTTAAGAAAGGTAAGACAGAAGCCAGCAGCCACTCGAAAGTAGTTGCAGGATGACCTAAACGCAGCAGGAACAACAGTTACATGAAGAATAATAAGCAACAAACTGCGCTGCAGTCATCTCTGTTCCTCCCACACAAAACTCCTCTGCTAAAACCACACAGTGATAAGTATCTTAAATTTGCACATGAATCTTTTAAACAAATCAGAACCTATTTGAAACAATGTACTCTAGTCACATGAAACAAAATAAAACTGAGCTTGTCGTGTTTAGAGAAAGAAAGGTGGTGTGTATGATCCCAAGAACACCATACCCACAGTGAAGTACAGAGGTGGTAGCATTGTATGGAGCTGCTTCTCTGCAAATAGTATGGAGGCATTACATGTCATCAAAGGAAACATGAATGGAAAGATGTATCGATTTGGGAGATATTAAATGAGAATTTAGTCCCATTGGCCAAGAAACCAATGTGGGGAGAAGATGGATTGGACTATGACACCAAACATGCACACGTATAGATGCAAGCTTTCTAAAAACAAAGGTGAAGGTGCTTGCTTTGGTCTAGCCAATCTCCTGACTTGACTCCCATTTGAAATTGCCCTCAGAGGGACCCTCATAACTTGGGAATTAAAGGCTGTTTGCCATGAGGAATGGGCCAAAATTAAACACAATGCTGCAGAAAACTAATTACTTACAAAGTCAAAAGATGTTATGTACATTTGAAGTTGATATATGCACTTGAAGTATTTTAAACAACAAAAGGTGTCTGAATACTTCTTTCTGCTCACTGCACATATGAGATGCAGTCATACTCTACCCACGCTCTTTTTATGCCAAAAACCGTTTAGAAACCCTTGCTTTTAAGAGTGTGGTTATGTAAATTTGGCAGCATAAGGACGATTCTTTTTAAGTTCCTCACTTAAAGTGGGTCCCAAATATTTCCACAGAAATAAGAAACAGTAATGAATTTAAGTGAGGAAAATGTAGCTGATAGCAGAAACAATACAGCAATGATGGGGTTAAGCATGTTGAAGTGAAAACAAAGACGCAGCTTCTGCTACAATGGGGAGAAAAATGGGAGCGCCGAGACTCTTCCCACAGTCAACTGAATTAGTAATGCCATGGAAATAAAGGTCCCGAAATGGTGCCACGATCCCTGCGGAACCCTCACGAGCAGTGCTGAACTTCCTCCCATCGGGAGCAGCTCACAGAATGCCTCTAAAGAGACCAAGATGTGGGCTCTGTTTCTTGTTTTCTTGTTCTCACAGCCTAGTGATCGGTCGTCAACTTAAGCATGTCAAAACTGAGATCCATATTTTCTGTGGTATTCAGGCCTATCATGGAAATCGAATGGAAATCTTTTTAGTCCTGAGGGAAAGCAGTGTGTTCACTCTCTTCTTGGGAAACTGCATTGACAGCGTGATATATTGCATAGAGAGTCCTGCTTGCCCTAAAAACTTCAATGAGTTTTTAAGGCAAAATGTCTGATACTTTTGATTAAAGTTGCGTTATGCTGACTAGTCAATATCTGAATGAGCGATTCTTGTGCTAGTGGGTTCAGACGGGAGAGGAGTAGCTGCCAGTGTGAAATGTGTGATAAAAAGCCATGGCCCTGGGTGAGCTTCAGCGGCACCTTTTAATGGATTAAACTGGCATGGCACTAATCAGACTGA